TTGAATGGTTTCTTCAACGTTTACAAACAATTAAATTGCAACAATAATGTATTTGTGTTTGTTTTTAGTCTGCAGCATTTGTATTTTGAGAATGTTTCAAACTCTTCTAAATTGTGAAACATAATGTGTTGATTCCATTAAAAAAAATATTTGCCCTGTGACTGAGCTCACTAATATTCATAATTGTAAATAAGTTCTGTTAATTAATGAAGGAAAGATATGTAAATGTATGCAAATTATTATGCAAATTAGCCCCGGCGCTATGCATTTTTTCTGGGGAGAACCCTGACGCCAGGTGTTTCTTGGCCTTCCTCTATTTCTCTTCCCCTGTGGATTCTATTGCAATGCCTTTTTAGTGATGGTTCCTCAGTGTATGACCAATCCAAGTCCATTTTCTTTTCTTCAGCTGATTTGTGGGAGGTATCTGGTTTGTTTGTTCCCAGAGCTCTTGGTTACTAATCTAGTTCGGCCACCATATTCCCATTATTTTTCTTAAGCAAGAGTTTATAAAGGCTTGAATTTTCCTGTTGCATTCCTGAGGTTGTCTTCCATGTCTCTGAGCATCACATGCTGACACAATTTTTTTTCCATTTTGGAGCATTTCAACAGGCAATGTGTTGATTGCAGCATATGTCATTAATTAAAACTGCCAGATAATTCATTATTTGTATTGTTTAATTCAAAACTTCGAACTTTTATGTAAGAAAAGATGTTGTGTTGTACACTTGCATGCACACTGATATAATTCACTGTTTTTTGATTACAGAGGAGAAGATACTTCATCTCACACCTGAACAAGAAAAGGATAGGACGTACTTTGTCAATAAAGATGTAAGCATTGGGGGGGGGGGATTGCCGAAATGTAGTTGGGGTAAATTAGGCAGGGTGTTGTATTTTTTGCCCGTGGTAAACTAGAACAAACAAGTTAGTGCTTTCATGATTGTAAATGTTATAGTTGTGGTCAAAGACAGTTTTAATAACCAATTGTACAATGTCAAAAAAACGTTATATTAGGAGTTTAGCTAGTAATTGCTTTACCTCAATCAACTTGGCTGAGGTCAATTTACTAAAAGGTATATTGTATGCTCAGTTACTCGCTCATTAATAATACAAGGCTCCTTTGCAGGATTCCATGTACTCAGTTGAGTGTTTACATGATTCCATGTTACTCGGTGTGGTGTTTACAGGATTCTATGTACTCAGTGTGGTCTTTACAGGATTCCATGTACTCAGTGTGGTGTTTACAGAATTTCATGTACTCAGTGTGATGTTTACAGAATTTCATGTACTCAGTGTGATGTTTACAGAATTCCATGTACTCAGTATGATGTTTACAGAATTCCATGTACTCAGTATGATGTTTACAGAATTCCATGTACTCAGTCGAGTGTTTACATGATTCCATGTACTCAGTGTGGTGTTTACATGATTCCATGTACTCAGTGTGGTCTTTACAGGATTTCATGTACTCGGTGTGGTGTTTACATGATTCCATGTACTCAGTGTGGTCTTTACAGGATTTCATGTACTCAGTGTGGTGTTTACATGATTTCATGTACTCAGTATGATGTTTACAGAATTCCATGTACTCAGTATGATGTTTACAGAATTCCATGTACTCAGTATGATGTTTACAGAATTCCATGTACTCAGTCGAGTGTTTACATGATTCCATGTACTCAGTGTGGTGTTTACATGATTCCATGTACTCAGTGTGGTCTTTACAGGATTTCATGTACTCGGT